ACAAAAGGGAAAGGTTTCCCAATAAAACCCCTGGCTGTGTTAAAGGGCGGGCACGGCCCAAGCACCTAAAGTCGGTACCGGGACCCCCGGGGGGCTGGGCTTGTTTTTGGGATTGCTTTGCGGGCCAGAAAGTAACAGCCTGGTTGATCGGGGCTCTAAACGCCAAAAGGCCTCTCACAGAGGGCCGCGGGGGCGTTGCCCCCAGAACCTCCCCAGGAAACCCCAGGTACGGGAAAAGGGAAGTCAATGCCTGCATTTAAAAAAGGGGGGGGTTTGGGGATTTTGGCGGGTTGGGGGGAAATATTTTGGGTATATCTTTTACTACAAATTTCAAAAACTTTTTTTGTTCGGGCCCACCTCTGCAAAAACAGCGTTTAATGTATGATGGGGAAAAAAGTGTTGAATAAAATGAAAGTATTTTTTTTTTGGGGGTTTTTTCTTTCTTTTTGGGTCCCCCAAAAAAGTTGGGGCAGTGGGGATGCCCCTGCAAAGGGTAATATTGGTGTAAAAATTATGGGGAAAATTTTGGGAGGGGGAAAAATTGGGAAAAGGTTGTGATTTAAAATTTAAAATTTAAAAGTCAAGGGCTGAAGAGGGGGTTGTTGAGGGGGGTTTTTGGTAAATTTAAAAAATGGTTTCAAAAGAAGGGAAAAAGGAAAAAAAGAAATATAAACTGTAGGTAAAGGAAGGCGGGGTAGTGGTCGTCCGAAAAAGGGGTTTGGAGGGAGGGGGTAAAAAAGGGTTTTTGGGTGGGCGAGGGCAAAGATTCCCAGCAAGCCGACATGACTCCAAAATCGAAATGACCGATTGCAAAAAAACCCTTCCCCGGCCGGGTTGAACCCGCGGTCAGAGGTCTAAAAAACTCCAGCCCAAATCGCTTAGCCACTAGACCAGTAGCCACAATAAGTTTGGCCCAATTTGGTATATTTCTACACCATGGGAAAGGTTAGCACGGGAACCCCCTGTGACCAAAAAATGCAATTTTTTTTTACAGAAAAAACCCAAAAGCTAGTGGGGCCGTGACAAACTCTAGCTCAAGCCCCCTCACTGCCGTAAAACATGACCCCACAAAAAATTTCGTAATGAAAACGAGGGCAAAAAAACCAAACCCGGCCGGGTTTTAAAACCCGTGGTCAGAGAGTCTCAAAACCCAGACCATACTGCCACCTAGTGGAGTTTCCCGTCTGTAAAAACTTGCATTTTGTGGTCACAGGGGTTCCTGTGCAAACCCTTCCTTGGTGTAGAAATATACCTATTTGGCCGAATCTTATTGTGGCTAGCGGGTCTGTGGCTAACGAACGGTCGGGATTTTTGGGGACTCTCTGACCGCGGGTTAAATTTCCCCCGGCCCGGGGTTTTAGGGTTTTTCCAGCAAGCGTGCGTGAGCGTTTTAAAGATAGGAGTAAAATGGAGACAAATGGTATTTGGTCCCCCTTACGAGCTTTTGGGAGTGGAGGGGGGGTTATATTTAGTAAAGGGGTTTCGGGGAAACCAGTTTTTTTTTAATTTTAGTGGACTTGGGGTCCGGGGAAAGGGGAAGTAAAATGCGTGCCTTAAAGGGGGGGTTTGGGGAATATTGTTTTTTTGGAGGGATTGTTGTGGGGGGAATAAATGGGATTAAATCTGGATATCTGAGAGGTTAGAAAAAGGGAAAGGGGGTGCAGTAATGTTGAATGATCAGTTATAAAAGGGAAAAAAGGGAAAATTTTGAATGTGTAAATCAAAAATTTATGTGGTTTAAAAATTTAAAGGTTTGGGGGGGGGATGCGAAAAGGGGTTTCATAATAAGCGTGTATGCCCCTGGAGAAGAGAGGAAGGCAGTGGAGAAGGGGGAAAATTTTGGGAGATTTAAAGTAAATGTATAGGACCCTTTTGAACCAAGTGGGAGAGTAATTTTAGTAGGGGACCTAAAAGCAAAAGGTAGGAGAAACTTTTAGAGGGGGTGGGAAAGGAAAGGGTTTGGGGTGCCAGGTGTAAATGAAAAGGGGAGCCCTTTGATTGAATTTCGTATAAAAAAGGGGGTTTAGTTATAGGTAATAAAATATTTTAAAAAAAAGAGGAAAAAAAAGTAACAAGATATGATGAAAGGGCAAAAGGGACTTTTGTTTTTTTTGGGATTATGTATTGGTAGATAAAAGACTGTTAGTAGACTTTCAGGAAAGTACATGTTTAAAGAGGGGCCACAGATTTTAAAATCACTTTCTAGTTGTAAACTACACTGGAGTAAAAGGTAGATGGGGGAAAAAGGAGAAAAGAAGCAAACAGGGAAAAGAGGGTGAAGGGTTTTTAAACAAAAAAAGGAGGCAGTTGGGTAAAATATTTAAAAAGCTATTGGAGGTTTGATGGGGGTAATGAGAGCATAGGGGAAGGGGGGTTTGAAAAGGTTTTGGGGGGAGGTAAAAAAATGTAGTGTTTTTGAGTTTTTCAGGAAGGTTTTTTTGGTTACAGGAAAGTGGGTGCGGGAGGGAAAAGGAGCGTTTGGGGAATTTATGATGTGAAGAGGTAGTAAGGGAGAAAAAAATTTTGCATATTAAAGTTTTTACAAAGTAGAAGTTTATGCAAGGGGGAAGAGTATATGGGGGAAAAAGAGAGAGGGTTTTAAAAGAAATGGTGGAAAACAATGTAAAAAGAGAGCAAAAGGGGGAGTGGGTTTAGATTTTTAAAAAAACAAATTTTGTTGAAAAAAAGAAAAAGTTTTGGGGTAGATTAAAAAGTTTAAAAAAGCCTAGAGAAAAAATTTGGGTTTGTCAGTTTAAAAAAAAAGGGGAAAGGGGAGTTAATTTAAAAGGAGAGTTTGAGGTATTTGGGGAAAAAATGGGGGGGGAATATTTTGAGGAAATTTTTAAATGTTGATGAAGATAGGGGAACTGTGATTTCATGTATAGGGCAAGGAAAAAACAACATCCCGTAGGAAATTTAGGGAAGGGGCCAGTTGTGAGTGTGGGGGAAAAATTTTTTGAGGCAGTAGGGGAAAAAGAAAAAGGGGGGAAGGGAGCCGGGTTTTTTTGGGGTAAAAATAGAAATTTTTTTTAAAAAAAGGGGGGGGTTTTAGTTTTGGATGGGTTTGGGGCAATTATTTTAAAAAATGTATGGAAAAGGGGAAGGAAACCCAGGGAATTGGGAGAGAGCATGCATAGTTCCTTTGTATAAAGGCAAAAAAGGGGGAAAAAGAGAGTGCAAAAAATTTTAGGGGGATAAGCTGTTGAGTATACCTTGGGCCCCAAAGGGGTATGGTAGAGTTATTATTTAAAGAATTAAGAAAAGATGGAGAATAGGATAGAGATAACAAGGAGGCTTTAGGAAGGGGAGGGGGTGTTTTTTGGACCAGGGGTTTTTAAATGAAACATATAAGTGAACCCGTATTTAGATAAGGGTTTAAAGGGGGTCTTTGTGGCAATTTTTTGGGTTTGGAAAAGGGGGGTTTTGCCCCCGGGGGATAGGGGGGGAAAGTGGCAGATGTTCCCCGGGTATTGTAGGGGTAGGTTGCTGAAAGCAGGGGAAGATTTTACGAGGATAGTGAGGCTTTAAGTTGAGTATGTAGGAAAAAGGGGAAAATTTTTTCCCAGTAAAAAATAGGCCTTAGACAAGGGGTGGTTTATGTCACCGTGGTTGTTTGATATATTTATTTGATGGGGGGTTTTTTAAGAGAAGTGGGTTTCGAGGGCCCCTTTGGGAAGAGGCGTGGAGTTAAAAGATAAAGAAATTTTACACATTTAAAATGGGAGTTTGGGCACAGTTGTCTTTGCTGAGACACTGTGCTCTTGGGAGATTCTGGAAAAAGAAGTTGCAGAGTTGGGGATGAATTTGGTAGGGGGGTGCAAAAGAAGAAAATTGAAAGGAAAAACGGGAAAAAAATAAAGGGTTTTGAAAGGGAAAAAAAAAATTAGGTGATGAAAAATTTGGGTAACAAATTTGGGGGGAGAGAGTGTGGTGGAGGTGAAAGTATTCAGATTTTTTTGGGAGGGGGCCCGGGGGGTCAGCGGATGGGTCTTTGAAGGATGGGGGGTGAAACATAGAATTTTTGGTGGGAAAAAGGGTGAGTGGTGCATTAGGAGTCTGTGGAGACAAAGAACTTTGGGCCTTGGAGGGAAAGAGGGGGAAAGTATGAAGTATAGTTTTAACCCCAAAGCTCTTTTATGGGTGTTTAAACATGGTTTAAAGAATGTTGCAGCGGGGAGAAAAGGGTGGAGGAGTGGAGATGTCCTGTCTGAGAGCAATGTGTGGGGTGAAAAAATTCAGAGAATTCGTAGTTTTTGGGGTTAGGGGGAGGTGTGGGATTAACCCAAAATGTTTTTCCCGAGGGGGTGAGGAAGGGTTGGGTTTAAAGGGGGTTCCGGGCCCTTTGGAGGAATGGAGCGAACAGGGAAAAACTTCAAAAGTGTATGTCCCGTAGTGGAAGGAAGGGGGGGTAGGGGTCGGCCTAGGAAAGGTTGGAGGGAGGGGTAAAGGAGGTTTTGTGTGCGAGGGGCTTGGACTTCCAGCAGGCATGCGTGAGCGTGTTTGATAGGAGTGAATGGAGACAAATGGTTTTTAATACTTGACGTGCTGTTGGAGTGTGAGCAAAGTAACATTTATGAAGGGGTTCAGGGAAACCGGCAGGCCGGACTTGAGTCCTGGAGATGGGAAGTACAGTGCCTGCACTCTGAAGGAGGGGTGTTAATGTTGCAGTTTAAAAACTGTAGTGTAAAGCACCCTTCTAGCAAGACAGTGATGGAGTGAATGATGGTGAAAGTTTTTCTTTTTCGGGCCACCCTGCCTTGGTAGGAATCGGCCAGTGTGATAATAAAAAATAATAAAAAAAATAGTATATGCTTATAAACTGTTCTTCTGGGCACCTCTGCAAAAACAGTGATTATGTTTGAGTGAGGCGAAAGTGTTGAATGATGATGAAAGTATTTTCTTTTTGGGTCACCCTGCCTCGGTGGGAGACGGCCGACTTGTTGAAAGAAAAAAATGGCCGTCTGTTTTACAAATATTTCATTGATTTTTTTCTTTCACAGGAGCCTTTCTACTTTGATGACACAGCATTCTTAGAGGAAGAAGAAGAAGAGCCTGATGATGATGATGATGACACCTACTCCACTCGTGCTGCACCAACTCGAAAGAGAAAAAAAGCTCCTAAGCTTCCTAAACCTGTGAAAGTGAGGGTTCCGTATACACTCTAATCTCTACACACTCAAAAATTTGCAGATTTAAAATAGTTTATTATTAGATTTACATTATTTTATATTTTATTTATTAAAGTAGAGTCGAACCTCATTTTTTGTCCGCTTTGTTTATTGGCCAATTCGTATTTAGGCCGGTTTTTCGGCGGAAATTTTGCTCTGTACAGTATTTCGGCTGTTGCCTCATATATCGGCCATATTAGACACGTTGGCCCACCTCTCCCGCCGGGATGCCAGGCTTTGGTGAGTTATTCTACCTTTGTTGGCAAGTGAGCTTATACTCCGTGCATTCATCCAAACATTTCCTTAACCCCTTGACTGTCGCAACCCCTAATCCTGAGGTGTCTCCTGGTGTCGCAAAATTTAAAAAAAAAAATTATTTTTTCTTATGAAATGATAGAGAATCTTTTCCTGATTGTAATGACACCAAAAAATCGAAATTTGATGGAAAACTGACGGAATTACGCTCTCACAAAGTTAGCGACCTCGGCAATATTTACAAATCGGCGATTTCGCCCACTTTGAACCCTATTTTCGGTTAATTCCATTGTTCCAGTTGACCAAACTCATAGCTATTTCTTTAGAACTCCATTTTTCTATCGATTGAGTACAAGAAACTGCCCATTTACTGATTTCAACTACCCAATAACGTGGTCAGAAATTTGCAATTTGGCCACTTTCACACAAATTAAAAAATATGAAAATTTCAAAATAAGGTCCAGAATGAACAATGCAGACATTCCTGGCTCTAAAATAACATTTTCTTTGTTCATCAGTCACGTCTCCAGGCCCCTCTGATATTACTCTTGCTTTCTATTCTGAATTTTTATTCAAACAAAAAATAGAAGATTTACTGTTATGCAGACTACTGCAATATTGTAATAATTGTACAAATAATGTCAACCCATTCATGACTGCATATTAGAATGGCTAGTTGGACATTTATTGGACAATGACATCATTTGTTTACTTTTGAACATCGGCAAAAATCAAACATTTTCCCTACTTTGAGCTCCATTTCCAGGTTTTTTTATAGTAAAACCAATCAAAATCACCTCTATTTCTATAATATGTTCTCCATTCTATCAAATGAGACCAAGAAAATGAGAATAAAACCATAAATACTATACAAAAATAGACCACAAAGTCGGCATTTTAATTAAGCCTTTGGGGGTTTCGGCCATACTAGTACGGCTTACGCCCCAGGGTTTTTGACGTACTAATACTTTTATTAACTCCACACCTTCTCCTAATTTCCACACTCCGAATTTTCTACATAATACTTACACCACACATTGCCCTTAGACAGGACATCTCCCCTGCCTCCAACCGCCTCCTTGCTGCTGCATTCACAACCCAAGCTTCACACCCATATAAGAGTGTTGGTACTATTATACTTTCATACATTCCCTTCTTTGCCTCCATAGATAACGTTTTTTAACTCCACATATACCTCAACGCACCACTCACCTTTTTTTCCCTCATCAATTTTATGATTAACCTCATCCTTCATAAATCCATCCGCCGACACGTCAACTCCCAAGTATCTGAAAACATTCACTTCTTCCATACTCCTCCTTTCAAACATAGCTTTTGTGTAGAGTTTTTTGAAGTTTGCAATGGCCTACTGGTCCATGGGCTGCAGGAGAGGAGTGGTATTAGGAGGCAAAAACTTGACCTTGATGAAGCTCATGTCCCCAGAAAGTCGCTGTGCCAAGTCTGAAGGATGACCAGGAGCATTGTCTAATACCAGGAGGCACTTAAGGTCCAATTTATTTTCCAGGAGGTAATTTTTCACAGTGGGGGGCAAATGCATGGTGTAACCAGTCATAGAAAAAGTCCCTAGTGACCCATGCCTTACTGTTTGCCCTCCACAGCACACACAAATTAGCCTTGAGGATTTTGTTTTTCTTGAACACACTGGGAGTTTCAGAGTGATACACCAATAAAGGCTTCACTTTGCAATCACCACTAGCATTAGCACACATCAACAGAGTAAGCCTGTCTTTCATAGGCTTATGTCCTGGGAGTGCCTTTTCCTCCTGAGTAATGTAGGCCCTGCTTGGCATTTTCTTCCAAAACAGGCCTGTTGTGTCACAATTAAACAGTTGTTCAGGTTTCAGGCCTTCAGCCTCTATGTACTCCTTGAATTCCTGCACATATTTTTCAGCTGCTTTTTGGTCCAAACTTGCAGCCTCACCATGCCTTATCACACTATGTATGCCACTACGATTCTTAAATCTCTCAAACCAACCTTTGCTGGCCTTAAATTCACTCACATCACCACTAGTTGCAGGCATTTTTCTAATTAAATCGTCATGCAACTTCCTAGCCTTTTCACATATGATCGCTTGAGAGATGCTATCTCCTGCTATCTGTTTTTCGTTTATCCACACCAATAACAGTCTCTCAACATCTTCTATCACTTGCGATCTCAGTTTTGAAAACATAGTTGCACCTTTGGCCAGAACAGATTCCTTGATTGCCGTTTTCATGGCCACAATAATGGCGATGGTTGATTGGGGTTTTGTGTACAACCTGGCCAGCTCGGAGACACACACTCCACTTTCGTACTTAGCAATGATCTCTTTCTTCATATCCATAGTAATTCTCACCCTTTTTTGCTGTAGGGTTGGCACTAGAAGCTTTCTTGGGGCCCATGGTGACTTGCTTTGCAGGTGCAATCACTAAAAACGCTGTGATAATATGAAATGTTCCGATTGTATGTTTGGATGGGACCGCTGTGGCTGGCTAGCTTGTAAACACTGGCACTCAGGGGACAAGTGAGGTGCGCTCAGGCCACATGTGGATGCATCTCGAATGGAGTGAATCGCGTTTGTCGAGTTTTTTAGCGCTAGTCGAGGCAAAATTTTTGCGTCAAAATGTATTACTAGTCGGATTTAACGTTATATGATGCCATCGTTGGTCAAGGGTCCACTGTACTTTCCATTATATTAGTTGAGACCAAGAAGCCGAGAATGCATCTGTAAAAACCATACAAAATACACTGCAAATTTGCTGTTTTAAACCAGTAACACTCAGTTTTTTTTTTCCATTATGCACTGCTTGCTGCAGGATTTTTTTATATGGTGCACACTTATTGCATAGACCCATTCTCTCATATCTAGGACCAGATTTACAGAGTGAGCTGAGCTCATGGTGTAGAACTATGGGACCACCCCTGGCTTCAAAGCTGTAGTACTACAAGACCAGCCCCCAAGGGTTAATATCTTTGTGAATCAGTATAGGTTAATATTTTTTCATGAAACATTGGTTTCCCCATAAGAGTTTAACAGCCCTGTTAAAGGCTGCTTTCATAACTTTAGGCAGACCCTGCTTATACAGTAAGTCAGGTTCTGGGCTACTGCTGTAAAGTGAAAGTCACTGTAAAGTGAAACATAGCCTTATCTCATATTTAACCTGTAAATGTTCCAAACGTATATATACATTACCTACCGTAGTGCCCCAACTTTTTTTTTTGAGAAAAAAAAAAATAGTTTGTTTTTAATAGGAAAAAAGAGCATATGGTACCCAGGCATCCCCAATTATTTTAATATGGTGCACAGTGAGTGCGCACACCCATTATCTCATGTCAAAGCGACTCAGGCTTATCGTGGCAATGATAAATGTATGACCAATAAAACGTATATACGCGTATACGTTTTGGGCACTAGCGGTAAAAACATATATGTATGTTTGGACTATTTACGGGTTAAATACAGTAGACCATTATATTACATGGTTTTATTTGGCACATTTTAGTTATTGCACTATTGAAAAATTGGGGCACAATTTTATACAACACTTTGCAAAATTAACTTAACACGGTTCGGTTTGCGGGAGGGGAAAAAATTTGGAGCGTTACCCGCAGGATACTTCCCCAACACAGCTAGGAGCTGAAAGTTAAGACACATATGCAACATCTGGATATCTTTATTGTAGACATTTTGCCATCCAGTGGCTTTATCAATACAGATTCTAGGACTTTGTCAATGGTCCAAGTCGGACCGAAACGTCGTCGTAAGCTTCTCTCTTTTATGTGCGGGTTATTTGTGTATTGTTCCAGTCACGGTATTGTGCCTTTTTGTTATTTATTTAAGACAGTAGAACTATATACAAAAGATGAGGTGTTAAATTAGACACATGTGCAACTCTTGGGTATCTTTATTGAGGAAACGTTTCGCCACACAGTGGCTTCATCAGTCCATACAAAGGATAAACTTGAAGAACAGGAGGAGAATGAGGTAATCAGTCCCTCAGCCTTGAGTCGATGTGGTCAGTCCATCAATCTTGAATAGAATATGGCATAGGGGCGGAGAAGCAGCTTATAAACCATATGGCAGGAGAGGTGCAGCAGTCGTAGGTGGTGTCACATTTGTCCAATGTAGAAGTAGGTCAGCCCAAGGGTTAGGCAAGCGAAGAATTTCCAAGTACAGTGGTCCCTCGTTTTTCGTAATTAATCCGTTCCTGGAGGAGCTACTATAAACGAAATTTACGATTTGCAAATCAATTTTCCCCATAAGAAATAATGTAAATACAATTAATCCGTTCCTGACACCCAGAAGTATTAAAACAAAAATTTTTTTTACATGAAATATACATGTAGTACATAAACAATACAATGGGAAATGATGAATGAAACATTAACAGCATAACACTTACCTTTATTGGAGATTCTTCTTAGTGTATAGGAGACTGGAGGAGGAGAGAGATTGGATTGTTTACAATTTGGAAGGGGAATTCCCTTCCAGCAACACCTCAGGTACCAATTGCTTCTCTGGGGTTGCTTCTCTTCTCTGTTTCTTAATGCCACTAGGACCACCTTGAAAGTCACTCTAGTCCTGTCTCACAAAGTAACTGTGGAGAGAGCTCTGTTTCTGGCATCTCTTTAACACTTCCCTAAAATGGCCCAAGACTTTGTCACTGGACATATTTCTCACCTTCTTTACCACAGGCTTGGCACTAGGAGCTTTCTT